ATTGAAAAAGAAGAAAATTTTTAGTCCTATTTATAAGGCAGAGAGAATTTTTAAATAACATACAACTTACCATTCATTTATTATTGTGTTAACTTTATTCTTATGAGGTGTATCGTATATTAAATAGGGATAAAATTGAAAAGTTGAATTTTAAATAAAAGTTAATAAACTTAAAATTTTTATTAGTTTGTGTAAAACACGTTGAAAATTACTAAAGAAATAGTTTGTATTATAAATCAATTTACAAACTAGCTCTAATCTACGGTTGAAGGTAGTATAAAATTTTGATTACAAATATTATTCAGGTCTCAACCAATAATTTATACTAAGAATCCCAGCTCAATCCTAATTTTAATGGTTACATGAATTTGTAAAATAATAAATTATACGGCAATAACTAAATGGCCGTATGCCGTATTCTTCACCATTCCAACGAAGCCCCTACTAAACATGAAGCTAAGAAATACCCAAATGAATAGAAGAGATTCGGAACTACTGTAATTAATATACAAGAACTATTGAGATCCTTCCACGTCCTCCGCATTCACAGTTCATTTTCTCGTCATTCTTCTCTCTAAATGCATGAATGGAGAAGATCCATGTCGTTAAAGATCCTTCGGAGTGAAGTAAATTTCAGGCGAGCCTGATCAATACATGAAAGGAATCTAGAGAACTACCAGAAGCTTAGAAAGGACTGATCTTGCCGGCCAACTTCAACAAAAACTCAGGACAAAACCGTCTTCTTGGGGGTGCCATTGCATCCTGTGCAAGAGCTTCATCATCACCAGAATGTATGATAGAAACTACGTGTTCAAATAGGTCGTCTTTTTACCACCTCGCAATGGATCCTGCTCATCATCAACATGTAAGACTTCGTTGAGAAAGTATCTTTGCAGGTAAAACAATTACAACATAAGAGAGCAGATCTAGTGTTTAATGAGTGCGCATCATTGTCTTGTTGAAGAAAAAGATGCGGAAAGCTTATGCAGTATTTATACAACAAACGCTTTTATATCAGTCCAATAAATAGAGATAAAAAATTTAAAGGGAAATCACTATAAGATTTTTTTTTTTTAAAAAAAAGGAAGAGAACATAATCACCAAAATATTTCAAAACGAGTAATATCTATTGTCATTTCATGCACCAGAACTTGTCATTACATGTTGCTCTCTCGTTATGATACCTTTTGGTAATTCCATTACTTCCTTGAGATCTTTCTCAAATGTAAACGCCAAAGAAAATGGACAGCTGTAATGTCTAACGTGTTCAAGTACAAGACTAATCTCTTTTTTCTTTCTTCTTCTCACCCCCCCCCCCCCCACAAAAAAATTGGGTCATAGTGCAAGGCTTATCTTTTAAATGAATTTATCATCAACACCGGCATTAAGTCTATGAAGCTGAAATCCAAGCTAAATATTCTAAGCCATGGTTTTAGTTCAGTTTTAGGCTTAAAAGCTGACGCAGCCTGTATCAGGACAATAGTTTTAATTCAAGTTAACAGCCTGCTCGCCTATGTTCCACACGATGCAGCGTAGAATTGCTTCACAAAGTTCAGAGATTGCACTATACACACTAATAAATATGTATTATTTTGCCAACAGACTAAATACATTTCTCTTGTAAGGTGCACAAAATAATAAGAACTTGAAAGTTTTTTTGAAGATTGTACTGATTTTTCTTAGCATTTAACCCTATTGAATTGCATAAAAGAATATTGAAAGAAAAAATGTATTACATAGGACCGAGGAAGAGTTCTCTATTTATTATTTATAAACAGTATATAGCTCCATGTAGATTTTATTTTTTATATTAATACTAAATGAAAAACCAAAAGGATTTGCTAACACTTATCACTTACTTGGAAAAACAGATCTGTGTTGTGTTTTCCATCATATAGAATAAGCTGAGTTCGTGCACCCACGTTCTTCAGAGTATCAGCAAACTTTTTACTGCAAACAAACGCTTATAAACATCAACAAGCGATAAATATAAAACCATGTGCACTTGTCACTGATTAAAATACTTGCTAGTTTAGTAGAGAAAAATACTCCTGCTGTCCTTAACGTAAAACCTAATTAATTAGTTGAGGAGATTAAGAATGTTAGTTAAATTAGTTTATACAATATGTTTTTTTGTAAAACCTCTAAACATCTTTCTCAATTTCCTCCCTCCCCCTCTCCTACTTGATTATTATTGGAGAATATTTATTACTAGGGTTAATTTGGGAAAAAGTTGGTAGACATATAAAATAGGTCTTACACATAAGACCAACATCAACTCCCAATTAGGTCCTATATTAAAGACTAGAGGAGTATATAATTAAGTTTTCGTAGATAAGAGTAAAATATAATATTTGGTATTCTGACCAAAAATATGTAACACAGCAGAAAGGAAAAAGGAAAAGCGAAACTAAAATATCATGAAAGTCATTTAATAGGAGGATATTATTAACTCAACAGGTTTTATTTGTAGCACGAATGAAATAGATTGTAAGAATATCACAAAAATACTTTCCCAATTTCCTTCAATGTCGTAGAGATATAATCGATGCTCTGGAAGCAGGAAATTTTCATGACAATATACCTGGAATCTGCTGGTATGGAATAATCACCAGTTCCATGAAACAGAATAATTGGGGGCAACAGAGGAATGGCATCTTTAATGCGTGGGTCACTAACTTCGACTTCAGGAGAAAATTTCTCCAATGATTCTTCACCTTCCATTATGCTGCAAAGAAACTCAGTCATATAAGGAGACAAAAACCTGCTTTTCTTTTTCTTTTTTTTTTTTTTTTTTTTTTGAGAAAATGTGGAGGGGAAACAACAGGAAAAGAGAACTGGGCATGTATAGCTAACATAAAGTTCTGGGGCACAAACCTTAAGAAAATGGAACGATACAAGCCACGTTGATGAAAGTGATCAATTAAATCCAATAAGTTGTATCTGTAAACAAATATTAATAAGATTACTAGACGTGCACTTCATCATGTATAAACTAACACTAACTGATCAGTGAACCTAATTCACAAGCAGAGCATATCTATCAGCAGCCATACTATCCAAACAAACAAACATGCATCCATGATTTTTTCCTCAAAAATTGTCTTCCTAGGAAAATGTGGGAGAGACAACGAAAAATATACATAAGAGCAAAAATTTTCGCCCAGACAATCTTTCATCAATTTTAGCATGTCAGAGATATTAGTAAAACCAATCCTAGGCCTTCACCTTACAACTTAATCTTTTGAGTTAAAGAGGCAGAGTATTGAGTCCTTGCAGGCCCCTTTTATTTTCTTGATTAAAATGCAGTTCTAACCCTTAATGCGATGAGCCCATACTTCGTTCACGCTTTCAAGCTCAAAGATCCATACTAACTACGAGGCAGACCCATACTCAAGATCCACTGCAGTTTGCCTTAAAAATCAAATCAGATACTTATCATGGTGACATTATCACACAGAAGAAGATTGCCAACCTGAAAATTATCCAAGATATTGCAGTATTGGGCATGCTATATATACAGTGTTGAGCATAGGTACGCTAGCACAGCAACAATATCCTCTGCTAAACTATGGCCATTCAAAAACCCATCACATGGCTTGCACCAAAAGGGGGGAAAAAGCTATTATATGGTTCGTCAAGGTAGACAGCAAGCATGCTGCAACCATATTATAATCGGCAGAGTAGCTTATAAGGCAATTAGAGGATTGCATCACACTATGAAATTCTCATAAAGCAAATAAGCCTTACCCCCCGGATAAACCAAAATATGCTTTTATCTGGGAGACGCTCCAAGAAACACTATCTTCTTTTCCAGATTCTCGAAGTGCTTGGTCCATTAAAGCACAAGCAGAAATATGAGCACCAGCAGATTGCCCCATCAGATAAATCCTATGAAAAATGTATCAATTGAAAAAAATCAATCTTGTACTTGAATACGAAGTGATGCAGTGGAATAAGGCATAGTAGCCTGTTACCTATTAGGGTCACCTCCATAATCAGTTATAGTGTTAACAACGCATGAAATTCCTTGCGAGACATCTTTTACCATATCACTGATGGTTCCCTGAGGAAAGTTTCTGCATTCACAAATTCATAAAAAATCTATTCAGTGCAAAATATACCACAGACTTCGCAACTTAAATCTCATAACTATGTTAACATCACCCTTGAAGCCACAGGGTTAACTAAGACAAGATTAATTACCCTGCAAACTAAGTTATTATTTTATAAGCTATACTTAAATTGTTAAACATATCGAGTATGGATATATTTCTCTTAGAAAATGAGATGCTGCACTTATCCCATTTAAATCACAAACAAACGAATAAATCCCGTACAAATTGTAGATCTACACCATGCAACAGGAATAGGTCTAAAACCTTGCCAAATTACAGATAGTCTCCTACACATTGCTCTAGTTTAGTTTTCAATTTTAAAATGTAAAATGAAAAAAGAAAAATCATAGCATGAGGCAAACATCCCTCTGGGTATGAATAGCCTGAAGCCCTGAATTACAATGCCCTAAAAATGGACTACAAACTATTGCAATATTTTATCAGAAGAAAACATGTGAAGTCCGATTATCAGTACATGAAGTGTCATTCTTGCACGGCATTAAGTTGAAGAGCCCACTTGCCTGTAATCAATGCTTGCCACCATGATGTTTCTTTCTGCCAACTGTAATCCCAACAGGGAACCCCATGCTTTATACCTAAATCAAAATGAAAATCAAGAAACTTAATTTTTAAAAGCTAATTATATATAAACCCTTATTAAAAATACTAATCAGCATCTGTTTTTAAATTCAACTTCAAAACTACCCAGTATGCTCCCTCATAAAGAAGCAATAAAAAATGACAAGTTAGATTAGGCTGTCAAATGTGTGTGCGCGCACGCGCGCCCCTATTATATTTGTACACATGCTCATAGTCAATGCAAGTATTCAGATATTCGGTTAAAACAGAGACAACAATGTCTGCCACTTCAAAAGGTACATAGCATTTATAAGTGACAAGACCTGACGATGGAACAGGTTTCCAGCTTTCTATAACATACAAATTTGTTGTGATTCAAGCTTCAGCATTCTAAAACTTTGGATTAGTCATCATAAAAGCAACTCTTCAAATCTGTTGTCCAAACATTAAACTATATCACAGAGTCGAGTATAGCTTCTCTCTAAATTGGGCAGCAGTATGCTACTTTGACAGAAATGCTTAAGCATGGATAGACCCTGCTCCAGCAGATACCTCAATTTTTGGGTAAAAATTAACAGTGTGAAGTAAACCAACAACTCAATTGAAGGAACATCATGAAGATATCTCAAGTCACTCACCCAATAATCCATGCTCCTCCAGTTACAAATATCAAAACTGGTTTGGGTTCACGAATATCAGCAGGTAAATACAGATCCATCCTGCAAGCGTACAACGTGAAACTAGAATACTAAGCACTCAATAAATAAAATAATTAACATCACGGTATATAAATGAACTTTTCTGAAAAGTTACCATATTTTTACTAAACTTACCTATTCCTTGGCATACTTCCATAAATAACACTTCGTTTTACCCGCTTTGAGAAATAATAAAAATATCCAACTGCAAAGATAGTCAAGAAAATAAGTCTTACATCCTATTGATGCAATGTGAGTACCTAAAACTATATAATAGACCATTTTTTTCAGTCATAATGAATTTGAAAGATAGGAGAGGTCACAACATATAATATAGGAAAACAACACATCAAGAAGGCCAACATAAAGGATGATAGAGAAATTTCGCACAAACAGTGTGCTTAGATCACATAATAGATCAGTCTTTTATGATGACACGGTATATAAGACCAGAAACTAAACTCATCTGATTGAGGACTTTCTAAAAGATCTCTATGCTTATCAGTGTAACACAGGCTCCAGCTATTTATATTGCCGGCTTCACATGACATTATGCCGAGAGCCGCAGCATTGAGCTACAAGCTATAGCACATTACCGATATATATGTGTGTGTGTGTAATTAGAAATAGATGGTTGCTGTTGAGCTACTAGGCACGAACTGGTGATTTTCTTTATCCTCAGAATGAGGGCATATAAAAATATGTTCCCCTGCATTGCAGGTAGGCAACTTCTAACTTAGGGTGAATTTGAATCAACTGTGTAAAGGAAGGAAATTTTGACACCACCAATAAGTCCTCGGTACCAGAAGAAAGATCATAGAGCTTATGTAGTGTAAGTAATGGACACAGGTCCACCCTGCTCCTTTTATTTCAGGAGACAGCCTAGTCTTTCATTTTCTTTCAAATCTATTATACTTTACAGACAAGGTAACAAGAGGAAAAGAAGAAAAGGAATAACACAAAACATCGACATCGACACTCACAAAGTACATAAAAGCCGCACAAAAATAACATAATACATACCTTGTAGAAAACCAGGCATAAGAAGCATGGCATAGCATCCAAGGGCAAGCAATTGAGTAATCCAGCGATAACCTATCCTATAAAAGTATCAATAGTAAATCAGATGAGCACAAGTTACCAGCATGACGAAATCTATGTCACAACAGAGGAATCTTGAAGGTTATAGTTTCATGGAAATTTTTTTATGAATGAGCTAACACAATTAGCACGTCAAGATAAATTTCAACTGCAGTAAATTGCTGAAAACATTCTCAGAAGTAATGTGAAATGCTGAAGATCAGTGTAGACTAACTAAAACAATAACAACAACAACATTATGGAAAAATCAAAAGTTTAAAACAAAAATAGAATAAAATAAAACCATAGGATATCGATTCGTAAACTTATTAAACCTCAATTTTCCTCATCAACATCCTCCGATTGCATTTTACTGAGTTACAATATTACATTGAGGTAACTCTGACCATATCAAAATCTACTGTAGCAGGAGAACTCTGTTTTGATCTTCCAAAAACAATTTTTGATATCAACAAATTAGGTGGTATGATTTGGTAAGTTCGTAAATTCATGTTCATCGAGAAGAGGGGGAAAACTCAGATTTGCTTCTGCTGCGTTCAATTGAAAATACAAGAAAAAGGTCCCACAACATAGCACATAATTATTTATGCTGCATATACGAAACATTCCAATGTTTTTTATGCTACTTTAAACTTCGTAACCATCCATTTGCCGCTTTTGCCACTAATATTTCCATCCGTAACCATCCATCATAGCACAATTTCCCGTTTCGATTGCTATTATCAACCCGAACCTTCTTCCACTACCAATACCAAAACACTCCCATTACTATTTCAACTGTCGCTGCCGTAGTTTTTTTTCCCCAAAGCTTCTGGAGTTTAAGTTCGCCTAAAGAACTATCGTTTTCTTCTTTTTCCAATTACGTCTTCGAACATGGATTTTCCAGCTCAATCCAATGCTATTACCAAACCATGAACACAATCAAAACATAGACAATTCACAATTTCAAACACAAACATTCTACTTGCAGCGAAAAATCAAGCAAACGTACCCCAAACATTGAAGAAGCGTGAAAGCAAGCCGAGTAATCAAATACGTCTCGGCAGCTATGTGACCAATATTTTCTTTATAGGACGATTGCCGAGCAGGCTGAGGCCGAGGGCCATTTCTCCCGGCGACTCCCACGCGCTTCTCACCTGAACTGTCGCAGCCATTTTCTCCCCTCAGCTCTCCCGAATCCACATCTACCAGAGCTTTCCCACCACCGTTCGTCGAAATCACTCGACGGCGTTCGATCAAGGTCGCCGCCGACGGGGCCATCGCTGGAGGCTGGAGCAAGCAACAGAATGACAAAAACTCAGAATGTATGGAAGATAACAGAACAGCCTCTGTTTGAGCGCCTCAGCAGGATTTGGAAATTTGGGAGGGAATATATGACATAGCTTATTAATTGCTTCCAAGTTTGAAAATCAATAAAATATTGACATTTGGACGTGAGAGAGAGACAAAGAGAATCAGCTTTGGGAATGGATAAGAACAAGACAGGACATCAAATGGTCGTTTAGGTTCAGGACGGCACCGGCGAGGACGATGAGAAGTTGGCATTCGCCATGGTAGTAGCTTTCAGCCTCGATTCCTCGCGAAGTGTAACGAACCAGTGAATTTAATTTCCATTTTTATAAAACACATATTCCGAGTTTTGACCACCTTGTCTGCGCCAATTTTCTGTCCACAACGATTTTATTGGCGGATTTGTCTGGACAGGCTGATGGTACATAAAGGCATGTTGAGTGTAATTAAAAAAAAAAAAATTAAAATATGAAAAAAAAACTTTTATTTAGCCTTTAAAAATTAATTTACTCCCTCATGTCTTAACCCAAACATATTTTTCAATGATTCTTGGGAACGCCAGTCTTGCATATCCCCTGTTTAAATAGATGATGAATCTCTCCTTTCTTCTGTAATGCAGAATTGCAACGCTTGCGAGTTTACTGTGTCAAGAAGCAATTTCTTGACTTTTGATTTATAAGGTTGGGTAGTATAGGTTTACCGAACTGCGGACTTCTTAGCTAGATATGCTCATACTACTAATAATGTTTTTTTGTATCTTTGATCAAACTTCACCTCTGTGTTGAGAGGCAGAGAGTGATGAAGGAGTTATGGTATAATTTTTTCTGTTGTAAGTAATGTTATCCAGTTTTTCACTCAAAAAAAAAAAAAAAGCAATTCTTTCTAAGGTATGGTGCCAACTGCCAACAAGCTTTGGGCTAACATTTTGCATCACGATATTTATTCCTCTCTTACGTTTTTTTTCCCCTTTCTTTCATGTTAAATTAGTACGTAGGATAGAGTTAAAAGATCTTATATTACTTAATTCTTGTCCGTTATTTTTAGGTACTGTGACCTGATCTTGCATGGATCATTGGGTAAAAATAAATCATAAAAATAAGAAGAAATATATGCAGTAACAACATCAATTTTCAAGTTAGTGGAAAGCTAAAAGTTTCATGTCTTGCCACACATGGTTGGGGTTGGAAGACAATTATAACAATTTTCATTTCAAAAGGAGTTGCTTGTAAGGAAGTGAAAGAAACCATAAAAATTTTCAAAATGGATCTTGAGTGCCATGAAATGAAGAAAAAAGAATATTGGAGACATTTCTTGAAAACACCTTCAGCTATATACAAACAGAAGCATTACTTATCCAGTAAGAGATCATCATCTTGCCTGAAAGAAATATATGTATAGAGAAAAAAAAATTCAATTCCAAAACGGTAAATAAAACAAATATACTATATCAAGAAAATTAATTAATCAATCAATATAACATACTAAAAGCATACAAAGTTAATATATATATTATTCATTAATTATGAACTATCTACCATTGATTTTTAAGCTTGTATTTTTGGCGAATCCTACCATCCATGACCTATTAATAATGCAAGCTTCCATAAGATTTAGTATAATATAAATTCAGATGGATGGATAGATGAAGTTTGCTGCATGCACGACAAGTTGAAAAAGAAGTCAAAAGCAAAGGGTGGAAGGGTGATTTACATGCACAAGTAATTAATTGCTTGTCCGTGATTTTGAATCTCAACTCAAGAAATCACATATGAATGATGCTGACGAGGAGGCGCCGCAATAATCTTCCCACGCGTCACTAACTCATGAACCCATTGATTAGTTTTTATTTATAAGTCACATGTTTCATACAGATAAAAAAAAATTTTAATTTTATTAACTCTCATTTAAAAATTAATAATTTTTTAACTTTATCCTTATTTAATATACATTATATATCATGTAAATAAAGTTAACACAATAATAAATAAAAAGTAAAATTGTACATCTATATAAAAATTTCTCTTTGTGCTGTATACATAGAACCAAAAAAATTTTTTTCTCTCTACCCGATAAATAAGACCAGAGGAATAACTCTTAATCATACAATTTCCGTACAACATCCACCTTTTATTGTTCTTCATAAAATACAAATGTGCTATCTCATCTACTTAAAATAAGAATTAGGTGAAAATTAAATTTAATCCTAAATATAAAATTTCAATCCACTTTATTTCTTAAAATTATAATATACCGAGAGCTATTTCTAATGCACATAATTAAAAAAGATAATTTAAAAAACTCAATACATACATATCTATTGCACCAATTTAGCTAATCTCTTTAATTTCTCTAAATTAATTATTTTGATTTTATATTGATATTAATAACTCGAGCTAAGATTGGTCAGAGGATATCAAAAAGACAAACGCCCTTTTAAGGCTAGTCCAAATGATACGTGTTGACTTGAGTGTTGGAAAATCTTTTGCATTGCTTGCGGCTCACTATAATTTAGAACATGTCGACATCTATAAGATCATGACGAGACCATGTGAGACCCATTGAAGTAGACAATATTCTTTTCTTGTGACAAAACTTGAACTTTCGTGACCAACATTATTTGGGTGAGATGGGTGAATATCTAGGAACGCCAATATTTTTATAGATTTTTTCCATGTCAATAGGAAAAAGAAACTACCCTCACCGAAAAGAGAAGAAGAAACAAATGCTACTGCTATTCCTTTTCATGTAAGTTTTAAATAACAAAATTACGCAGTTTAAAAAATTTGTTAAAATTAATTGAAAATAATAAATATATAAATCGTACAACTTATTTTCCTAAATTATATTTATGACGATTGAGAAAGATGATGAATGAAAACATAGATGAGAGAGATACAATTAATCAAGGGTAAAAATTTAAAAATACATTAAATGATCAAACATATCCAAATTAAAGCTGTTTAAAGATTTGAAGCTTATATTTTGAATTAGAGAGAGTATAATTTTCTTGTACTTCTTAATGTGCCTGCTTTTATTTTGAAAATTCAGGAGCCAAACTATAGGATAGGAGAGTAAAACAATTTAAGCTTAGTTGATGAAAAAAATTATTCAAAATTATATACTTTTTAAATACAATTTGGAAAACTCTATTTTTTCTTAAGTATACTTCTATAGATTGTGTTTTATGTCCACTTTTCTGTTCTTGTAGTTCTGGGCTGACCTATCAATTTGGTACATTTGAGCTTTGCTTACATTCTCTAATTTTAACCGGCTGGTCTTTTTAAACTTGTACTCGTTTTATCCAGTGGAATAAATTGTCTTTATTTTAAAAAAAAAACATAAGAGAGAAAACAAAAGAAATGCAACGGATATGTATTGACTAATTATTATTGGTACACTTAATTTATTTAAATCTTTATAAGCGGACATTAATTGACACAGTCTTTGTTGAATAATTACTTTAAAACTTTAAAAATGCTATGAATATTATGTGGATGTCTATTTACTTCTTCCTCTTCATCTTCTCTAAGTAACTTCCACTACCTCCACCATCCATTACTCCTCCACTACCCATTCACTCTTGTAACTCACCTCCATTCACATTCATGAGATTGATTATCCACTATTTGTCATTTAAGGACAATTGTAATCTATGTGTAAGACTATGCCTATAAATAGGGCATGTCATTTGTGTTGTAGTGCAAGTGAAAAAATACAAAAAGTTCTCTCATTCTCTTATCTTCATCTTTTTACTTTTGTGGTTTCATTTTGGTTTCATTTCATAAGACGTTATCAGCACGAAGCACTCTTGTAATCAGAAGGTGTTGTAGTAAGACTAATCAACCGCAAGGTAAATTTCTATATTACTTTCGTATTGATTTGTTTCATAACTATTCCATATTTCCATTCTCTTATTCATATTGATTTGTTTCATAACCATTCTATTTATCCCTTCCTCTTCATCTTCTCCAAGGAACTTCCACTACCTCCACCATCCATTACTCCTCCACTATCCATTCACTCTTGTAACTCACCTCCATTCACATTCATAGTATTGATTATCCACTATTTGTCATTTAAGGATAATTGTAACCTATGTGTAAGACTATGCCTATAAAGAAGGCATGTCATTTGTGTTGTAGTGCAAGTGAAGAAATACAAAAAGTTCTCTCATTCTCTTGTCTTCATCTTCCTACTTTTGTGGTTTCATTTTGGTTCCATTCCCTTAATATTAATTTTCATTTAACTTTTATATGATAGTATCATCATGTCAAATCTCACAAAACTTGAGTTTGTGGCTCTTGACATTACTGGAAAGAATTATTTATCCTGGATATGAGATGCGAAAATCCATCTAAATGTCAATGGTCTAGGAGACACAATCATAGAAGGCAACCAAGCATCAAACCAAGATAAAGCCAAAGCCATGATCTTTTTACATCACCATTTGCATGATAGGCTCAAGATTGAATATTTGACAATAAAAGATCCACTTGTTCTTTGGAACAATTTAAAGGAGAGGTATGACCACCAGAAAACTGTAATCCTTCCTAAAGCTCGTTATGACTGGATGTATTTACGTTTACAAGACTTTAAATCTGTGATCGAATATAATTCTACAATGTTTAGAATCAGTTCTCGACTGAAATTATATGGAGAAAAGATTACTGATACAGATATGTTAGAAAAAATATTCTCCACATTTTATGCATCCAATGTGCTCTTGCAGCAGTAATACCGTGAGAAAGGTTTCAAAAAATATTTTGAATTAATTTCTTGCTTGCTTATGGCTGAGCAAAATAATGAGTTTTTAATGAGGAATTATGAATCCTGTCCTACTGGCTCCACTCCATTCCCAGAAGCGAATACAGTAGCAAGTGAATCAACCCGTGGTCATGGTCGTGGACGTGGAGGTGGTCATTCCAACTAGAAGTGGGCAAATAATGATGACCATCATCAAAAAGAATCTAGTGGAAATAATAATCATGTTGAAAATCTTTGTTATCATTGTGGTGGCAAGGGTCATTAGTCTCGTACCTGTCATACGCCAAAACATTTGGTTGACCTCTACTAAGAATCGCTGAAAAATAAGAATAAGAATAAGAATAAAAATAAAGGCAAAGAGTCAAAGGTGGAAACAAATTTTGTTAGAGAAGAAGGCGATTCTGATTATGGCAACATGGATGTTACTCATTTGGATGTTGTTGATTTCTTTGCCAATCTTAATGGAAGAATTGATCACTTAATTGATGATAGAAGTGTCAAAAAATGAGGCAT